TCCATATGGCCATTGTATTTCTGCTTGGAGCAGTGCGCGAACTTTGTATATCGATAGATAGATAGATAGATAGATAGATAGATAGACAGATAGATAGACAGATAGACAGATAGACAGATAGACAGATAGAGAGATAGATAGATAGATAGATAGATAGATAAATAGATAGATAGATAGATAGATAAATAGATAGATAGATAGATAGATAGATAGAGAGATAGATAGATAGATATACTGAGATAGACAGATAGATAGATAGACTTAAACAGATAGATAGATAGATAGACTTAGATAGATAGATCGATCGATAGATAGATAGATAGAGAGATAGATAAATAGATAGATCGAGGGACGGTAGATAGACACATAGACAGACAGACAGACAGACAGACAGACAGACAGACATATAGACAGAGAGACAGATAGACAGACCGATCGATCGATAGATAGATAAATAGATAAATAGATAGATAAATAGATAGATAAATAGATAGATCGATCGATCTATCGATAGATCGGTAGATCGGTAGGCCGATAGACCGATAGATCGATAGAGCGAAGGACGATAGACCGATAGATCGGTAGATATATAGACAGACAGACAGACAGACAGACAGACAGACAGACGGACGGACGGACGGACGGACGGACAGACAGACAGACAGACAGACAGACATGGCTTTATTCATTTGTGTTGTATTACGTTGTGTTGCATAACACTATGTTGTGCCAGTGCCTGTCCTCGGCAAACTAAGGAGGCCAAGTCGGGACCCCGAGAAGAACAAATCATGAACTACCTGTAGTCTCCATTGTAGTTCCTTTGGGGGGATACCTTATAAAACCCTTAATATATAATATATAATTGGCCAAACCAAAGAAAGGAACTACAATGGAGACTATAGGTACTGCGAGCGAGTCACCTCTTTGCGAATTTCCAGGTTGTTGCCTCGCGAATACGCAACTGTGACGTGCCAGCTGCCTGTGCTAGGCTGCTAGGCCAAGCACAAAGCATGTTTAGGGTTTAGGGTTTAGGGTGTAAGGACGTGCCAAGCAGTGGGGAAGCATGATCAGATTGCACAATCCGACAGAAAGCCTGCCTGTGTCGTTGATGAAATCGGCGCACAGGGTGCTCAAAATCATCCCGGCCACACACTGCACGAAGGTCAGCAGGCAAAAACTCCAGAAGAGCATGTCGCGGCCTGATGAAGCCATACTGGACAAGGGGTGTACATGCTTTGGGCCATCGCTTTGTCTAGAGTGTTTGAGTACAGGACTCTTTCCTCGGGCGTGGGCACCAGTTCTGAAATCCGCCGGTGGCTATGTAGCCAAGTAGCTGGACGCCAAGCATTTGACCAGCAGCTGCAGCGATGCAAGAACACTTGACCTGACTCAGCTCGCGCTGGAAGGATGCCCAAAGGGGCTTTGGATTAAAGCTCTTACGACATAGCCTGCGCACCTACTACTGTGCCAGGCTGGGCTAAACACCACCGTGCTAGCGCACATCCCCAAACAATGAAAGACCACTGCGACGCCCCATGACGACCGTAACGACAAGGACCAGTACACACGAGAACCACGGAGGACCACCATGATGACCACTGCGACCACCAAGAGACCAACCAGGAGACCCCACGAGACCACCGCAAAAATGATTTTTCCCAACTACTGTTGGCTCGAAGACCAGCGCGAAGCTCCCGGTCGCCCTAATATCAAACGGGACAGTATTGGAAGGATCCATACTAACTACTAACAAAGAACTTATCCCCCCTTAGCTTGCGAGATCAAGAGGGGGTTCTCCGAATTCTTTCCCAAAGGTACTGCTGCAACGCAAGTTTTCCGAAGCCAAAAGAGGTCCATGTAGTAGTACGTACAACGGGGCACGTGCAGTGGGGCGGAAGGCTCTGTACATACTGGCCCCCCCCCCCCC